TTACAGCTGTAATTGCCTTCAGGCCAATCCTCTGGGACAAATGTATTTATTTTATCTCTGATGTAAAGATAGGAAATCAAAGTATAGAATAAAGGCATAGTATCACATGACTTGTACTTACTAGGTTCTCAGGAAATGTTTGAAATATATTGAATAGTAGATTTCATTCTGATAATTATTTTAGAGCAATGCTTCACCACCTTTCTTATGTCATTGTACATAGAAATTAATACTATTTATATGGGACATGGAGTATTTTTTTCAAAGAACATCTCTAGTAATAACATAATTTAGAGAGGTGAACAACTTACAAAATGTTATGCTACATTATTATTGTATCTGTTGAGGGTAATACCACAATAGAGCTCATGTGTTAGAGTTAGTCTATGACATGGGTGAACAGACAGTACATCCTTCACAACATAAGAGTGTTTTGCCCAATATCATGCTGGAGATACAAATGGCTTAGAAGAAGCCACAAATGCTGGGACTCCGGCCACTTCCAGGTCTTGAGGTGTTCAAGACAACTGGTTCCTGTGCAAACAGTAGAAAGTAGATATTTATGAGTATGTTGGGGGTGAGGTGTGCTCCACATTCCACCCTTTATTCCTACCTGGCATTCTGTGACTAGAGCTTGGTCTATGGCACCAACAATTTCTCAATTTTAAAACAACATATATATGCTAAAGCATTGCCTAACTCAACTAGTCACCCTAACAGTCAAGGAAAGAAGTTTCATCACCTGTCACCTTAAAAACACCCCAACTTTGAGTAGATGCTGAACCATAGCCTACATTTTTAGAGCTTTTAGCTTGATAGAATACAGAGTGTTTTGAGAGCTCCATTTCATTCATCTTCATTTTGCCCAAACTTGTTTATTCTATAGCATGCTTATAAATGCCTCTGTTTGCCCTAGCTACTTGTGGTTTGGGAGTAGGTCATACTGCCCACTGATAGATGAGGGAGTTGCATTGCCAGAGAGGGCCAGTGAGAGGCACACTCTTTCAAAGGAAAGTACTTGACCTGGATAATGAAGGCATCATCACGTATCGAGTGCTTCACAGTATTTCAGGCTCTGTTCTAAGATCATATATTTAATCCCTACAACAACTCTGTGAGATAACTACCATCATTATACCCAATTTTAAATAAGAAAACTGAGGCAAAGAGAGGCTCTGTAACTTTTCAAGGTCATACAGGTGGTGAATTGCAGAGCCAGAATGCAAGACCAGAATGTCTGGCTCCAGAGCCTACGGCCTCACACTCTTCTTCCCTAAGTAGATGGGAGTGGGGAGAGACACATTAGGGAGCGGATGCATAGAATACAGCTGTCATGGTGACTGGTGAGCCTTATGCTGAGTGATACTCCAAGTGGTACAGAAAAGGGATGTGGAAATTTGGGAAGACAAAGGGTTTTTCTGTGCAAGGGCAGCCATACTGGTGACTACAGCAAGACTTCCTCTTTATACAGGTTGGAGGCAATAAAATGGGGAATTGGCAAGACAAGCTGTCATCACCTCCCTGAGGCAGGTGAGGAAAAGGAAGCAAATAGGAGAGGCACTAGTGTTTTGTATTTAGATGAGTACATAGCCTAATGTGAAAACTCACTCTTTAGTTACATCAACCTTTGGATGCTCTCTGAGAGGCTTCTCAGGAGAGATCTGAGAATGATTTGAGGGTGGGTTTTGGTTTTGACCCTGTGCCATGGCAAACAAAATGAAACTCTCCTTGGGCTAAAAGGTAATCAAGATGAAAGTGTGTTTACATAGATGAGCAGTGGGATTTATCAGTGACTCTGGAAGGTAATCCTAGGGTTCAGCGCTCCATGAGCACCATGCCATGTTCCTAAGCTGGTAAATTACTGTGAGCTTTTATGAGAATGGATTGTGGGAAGCATCTAGATGAAATTCAGCCTGTTTCACCTCGAGTCCAGGGCCCACTAATGCACTCCAGGTGTGCAGGCTGCCCGGGCTTTCTGCCTTGGAAGCCTCAAAGAACTTTCATCCCAAAGGGAAAGCTTTGAAGAATACGAAGGGCCTTCCTATCTCTTCTTATTTTTTGTATTCTTTCTGCCCACATTTGGTAATTGGAGATATTTGTGGTGTTAAAGCCAGACTTGTTCCTTCTCAGCCTGCCCCTCCAACAGTGAAATTTTAAGCCTGTGGCTTCAACTGTGCACAGCACTGATTTCTCCACAGTGTCCCTTGGATGTAAAAGGAGAACAGCTGAAATACTAGAAAAGGGGATGTAGGAAATCACCAAACAACAATTTTCCACATCTGTAGATCCTTTCATCGAAGGCAAAAGAAGCTGGAGAGGGTGCCTCCAAAAGGTTTGGGGGAGGGCACAATTTAAAGCTGGTTATGGGCTAAGGAACTAAAGATCAAAGGGCTGTGTCCTCAGAATGATACAGTGAGTCACTGGAAAAACTCTGAGTAAAAGTCAGGCAGCCTGTTCTCCAATCTTATATGGCTAATAAGTACAATTGGCTTTATCCAGTGTGCTTATTTAATTTTTCTCATTTAGCTCCAATACCGTTCTAAAGAATATAATTATGTGTGCATTACAGATTAAGATTTTCAAGCCCTAGAGCATGAGGTGTTTTGCCGTGATGATACAGTGTGTGCAGTGAAAAGGTACTTGAGAAGCCCTCATGTCTGTGGTGTAGTCCCTGTGTTCCCATGGAATATCGGCCCCCCTTAAACCACTGCCATTATTCAGGCCATCTTGTGGCTTCCATTTAGGAGTTCCCCTTTAAGAAAAAATTTTCCAAAGCTAAATTAAGTAAGTCTGTGATTTACTTTTTCCAATTTTGACTGCTGTGAGCATTTCAGTCTGTTGCCCACTAGTTCAAATCAGCAGTTGGCTTTCTCTTTATCTCCAAGTAAAATGATTAAACATATTACAGACAAATGTGTTTGCCGAGTTGAGGGCAGCAGATTTGCTTGAGCAGGAAGTATGTAAGTTTTGTAAATTTTGAAATATTCCATTCAATTTGGATTCTTTTTCATATGTCCTCTTGATAGATGCCCATTTCTGATTATGCGTGACCTGAATCAAAGTGCAGGTGGTTAAATTGTGTGTGCATGCATGAGTGTGCATGTGGTGCTCATATAGCAAAAGAGAGCTAGAGAGATGTTAATCTTCTCATCACCTGCCAGAAACTGGAAGAAACATCCACTGCCGAGATGAGCACTAAGGTACCTTTCCCAAGCATGTTCTAAGAGGTCACTCCTAGGGAGAACTTTGAGGCATTTGCCTCAGTTTCTTAGAGATTTTATGGGGCTTTTGACTCTCTGTGACTGCATCTAGAGAGGTGAGACATGGGACAGTCACCTTTGGGGCCATCTAAGAGGTGTCTCTTGAGGTATGTGCAAATACCAAGATAGCAAGGATATAGTGTAAAGAACTTAGAATCAGACAAACTAGGGCTTAATGTTGACCCCACCATTTCCTGATGTGTACCTTTAGGTTGATTACTTAATCGCTATGATCCTCAATTTCTTGTAAAAATGAGCTAGTAATAACTACCACACAGATTTGTTGTTAGCATTAAGAACATATATGAGAAAGCTTCTAGGATATAGGAGACTTTCAATAAGTCTTAGTTTTTAATTAATTTATTTATTATTTTAATTTTTTTATTTTGGTATCATTAATCTACAATTACGTGAGGAACATTATGTTTACTAGACTCCCCCCATCACCAATTTCCCCCAACAAACCCCATTACAGTCACTGTCCATCAGCGTAGTAAGATGCTGTAGAACCACCACTTGTCTTCTCTGTGTTGCACAGCCCTCCGCGTGCCCCCTCCCCACATTATACATGCTAATCGTAATGCCCCCTTTCCCACCCCCCACTTTATTAAACCTCCCTTCCCACCCATCCTCCCCAGTCCCTTTCCCTTTGGTAACTGTTAGTCCCTTCTTGGGTTCTGTGATTCTGCTACTATTTTGTTCCTTCAGTTTTTTCTTTGTTCTTATACTCCACAGATTAGTGAAATCATTTGATACTTGTCTTTCTCTGCCTGGCTTATTTCACTGAGCATAATACCCTCTAGCTCCATCCATGTTGTTGCAAATGGTAGGATTTGTTTTCTTCTTATGGCTGAATAATATTCCATTGTGTATATGTACCACATCTTCTTTATCCATTCATCTACTGATGGACACTTAGGTTGCTTCCATTTCTTGGCTATTGTAAATAGTGCTGCAATAAACACAGGGGTGCATATGTCTTTTTCAAACTGGGCTGCTGCATTCTTAGGGTAAATTCCTAGAAGTGGAATTCCTGGGTCAAATGGTATTTCTATTTTGAGCTTTTTTCAATAAGTCTTAGTTTTACTTTCATTCTGTCTTAGCCATCTTTGAGCTATATACTAACATGATTGAAAACAAACAAGAAAGCTCTCTTCTGTCTTCTCTTATAAGGAGACACAGTCCTATCATGAGGGCTCCACCTCATGACCTAATTATCTCAGAAAAGCCTTCTTTCCAAATACCATCACATTGGGGATTAGAGTTTCATTATATGAATTTTTGGGAGACTCAAGAAATTCCTGACACCCTTCCTCTTTTTTGCATATCTAATTTTGGAGAATTTGTATACTCTGTTTTCAGTGTCCTCCTTCCCTTCATAAAACACTATCAAAGTCCTCTCAAAACTTGTGTGGATATTTGAATTTTGTTAAATCTTGTCATGATTTGCTTATAACACATGAATGACTTCATCTGTGACTTGATTTTCTAAACCCATGTGAAATTCAGAATTAAGAGTTCACTGACAAAAAGTAATTCAGTATGCTGTTGGAATTTGCCTATCAAAGCTGGGTGAGCAGGTATGGCCCTGAACTAGGGAAGACAGGCTGAGCCATGGCCTTGTCAGAGTCTGACCTTGCCCACATTGGTCACCTGTCAGGGACACTAACACTAGTTGTAGTAATACATAAAACCCTAAATCTCAATGACTTAATACATATAAATTTATTTCTTGCTCACATCAAGTTTAATTAGCTGTTTTTGATTGGTGGGTGACTCTTCTCCAAGCCAAAATTTCTTCCATCTTGTGGTTCCTTCTATCTTGTGACTCTGCCATTTTTAACAAACGTCTTCTAAAGTCCCCCTAGAAGAAGAAAGAGCATGGGTGGTTTTTTTGGGCCAAGCCTTGAAGATCATTCCCACCCACATTCCATTGGCTAGGACTTACATGGCTATACTGAACTGCAAAGGCAACTAGAAAATGTGCCATAGCTACGTGCCCAGAAAGAGGAGGAAATAGGTGTTGTGATCAGCTAGTAGTCTCTGACAAATGTGTTTGTTGTCATCTTTCCAGACTTGTATGTCTTCCCTTTCTTCGACTGGCACTTGTTTCAACTTATGACATTGTTCTTTGATTTTGATTCTAGTTTGGTTAACTCCTTGTTTATGGGATTTTGATTTACTTAACTTGCCCCCTTCTGATATCCTTTTGACTCCAATTCTTGCCTGTGCCTTCTGGCCATTTTTTATTCACAGAAGATTAGAATTATTTCAGAGTTAAAGAGAATTATAGAGATCATTGAGTTTGACAATTGTTTTTATACTAGAGGTGCTTCTTTCCAAAGACCATGGGTAAGTTTACTTAGTATGTGGAAACAAAACATAAACATATCAAAGTCTGTGTTTATGAAGCTTTCTTCTTTATAATGCTTGGGCATTTTGAAAGAGGGACAGGGTTGGTAAGAAGAAAGGAACTTCCTGTTATGATGGAAAGTGTTCATGGGTTTTAGCCTTAGCTTTGACTTTCATTAACCTTGTGAAAATTTTCTCATCTTTAAATGGGCTTAATGGAATTCATAGAAGAAATATTGGAAACCTGTACAACCAAGTAGTAACAAGGTATGTCTGGTGGTGAGACTGAATGATTCTTTGGTTGGTCTGTTCTGTTTTGATTTTTTACCATTTTTTTCCTCCAAGTTTTATGTACTGGGAATACATTCTTCTTGCTTTCCTGCCCCTCCCAAGTCCAGTATCTCTTAAAATGTAAAAATCAGTAAGAACACAAAGGGTGGAGATAATTTTCAGTCCCAGCTACCCACAGAGTTACTCTGAAGATCATGTGCAACAATGTGTAAGGGTGCACTTTGAAAATGAAGGATAACTGTATGATCAGGTATTGCTGGTAGGTTATTGTTAGCAAGTTAGCCTTAGTTTTAAAAATTCAGAGTTTCTGTGTTGGGAAAGTGGAGTGCATGCAGAAATCTTGAATCTCTTGAATTCACCATTTGGGTGTGTTGTTCCTCCAAGAGTGCTTGGAAATTCCACAGGTGCAAAATGCGTGTTTGTTCTCGCAAACACAAACACAAACACTGAAGATCATCTGCTGCTCCTGCAGACTGACAGTAAAGTAATCAGCATTAAAACCATCATTTTAAGGTCCACAGGGAAAAAAATGACCTTAGCAAGGAATTACACCATGTTCTTGAGTAAACTAGGGAGGGAGAATAAAAGACAGGCAGATGAGAACTGCTTACTTATCTGAAAACTCTCCCTTTGGTATGTTTGTTGACCACACAGAAATGTTGCAAACTCACTTTTAGTGGCAGATCTCACATGGAAGCACATAATTCACTTTATCTGGCTTCTCACAACCTCTGTGATTATAGAGCACCATCGGGAAATTTGTAAATTAAATTGATCCTTCATGTGTCTTTCTGTTTATCAAAGTAATACATACTCATAAAATTCAGACCTTCAAGAAATACATTATGGAGGAAAAGTCTCCCATCATCAGAGACTTCCCTGCTGTTAGCAGATTTGTATATAGCCCTTCAAATTTTTTCAATGCATATATGAATAATTTATGATTCACTTTTTTAACAAGAATATGTTTCTTTGTTATATACTGTGTTGCACATTTTTTCCCGCATGTTACATCTCAGACATATCTTATAGGATTTTTGATAGCAGTTTTATTACTTTTGTCATATTCCTTCACAGCCCCTTGGACCCTGATTAAGTATCTGAGAGTTAAAAAGAGAGCTGGAGGCTGATTTTTATTTGTTTTTTTAATGCAAGAGATTTTTAGGTTTGGCCGTGACTCTACTTTAATGTCAACCAACCCAGTACTTGTGATTGTTGTATTGGTAGCATCTATCATGAATTAATGACTTCAGGAAAGCATTTTTTCTACCCTGGCATTCTTTTTGGCAATCGTCTTGTGAAAACCAATTGAATTTAGGGATGATGTTGATCTGCTCTGGAAAGATGGAATGAGTTATCTACCTACAAAAAAATCTGATCGAGTCACTCTCTTATTTAAATACCTTTCGCGACTTCTCTACAGGATAGAATCCAAATGCATTAGCTTGGTACATCAGAATTTCTTGGCCCACCCGTCAAGGCTCAACACTCAGCATCCCAGTCCCGTGTGCATATGCTTCAGACACACTATGTATCTTTGTTGTTTCTTTCCTTTATATTTTCTCATTGACTTACTCTCTGCTAGTATGCTTTCTGCTAGCTTCTTTGCTTGGTGAAACTCATGTTCATTAGCTCTTTGGCAAGGCTTTGCTAGACTCCTTTTCCACTTCTATATGGTGATTCTGATGCTATGGTATGACTTACTTTATCTCTCTTAATCCTTTCAATTTTTTTATTATGGTATAATTTACATACAATTAAGTGCACAAATCTTAAGTATATAGTGATGAATTTGTCATGTCTGAATTTGTACCTGGACTGTGAGCCTTCAGAGTTTAGGAACCATATTTTATTCATTCTCCTGTCTCCAGAGATACTCACCAAGTGCTTGAATGAATGAGTGATCACTGTAATTTCCTCAGTCCATCTATTGTCAATTTCTTAGAGGAAAGGGACCTTAGAGGGTGTTTTTGTAGGACTGTGAAACCAGATAATACTTGTTCACTGCCTTGCCATTAGCTTCTAAAGTTGAGAGATATAACCTAAAATATTATTGATTTCCTCAGGGGTAATTGTGGATCCATGAATAAAAACAAATTCCACCCATTTTTTTCTACTCATCTGATAAAGTTTTATTAGAAACTATAAATCTTAAGACTTGAGGTATTGGACAGCAAAGATATGGTTAGGATCAAACTGCCTTCCCCTTTTTATTTCAAGCAGAAAAAAGCAGTTAACCCTTCCTTAAATTCCTAAATCTATGTTTAGATTGCTTAAGAAACAGAATGACATTTAATTTCAAAATTACTTTTCCTATTAAGAATTGCTGACATATTAAAGGGAGCTAGTATTTATGCATGTTTTTTAAAAGCTAGGTATCAGAAAACTTGCTCAGAGTAATTTGATTTAACAAAAAGGTTTGGTAGTCTTCCTTGAAAATGATCCTGAAATCAATCTCTTTAATTTACATTAGGCACTCCAAGGAAATAAACACACTTTCCTGTTTAAAATGAGGGTGGCCCAGTTACCTTTACTGTGCTAGAAAATCCAGGCTGAAATATTATTACTTTGCATTTGGATTTTAAGCTCTTCTTTGAAAATTATATATATAAACAGGTAAATAATAGCACCAAATGGACATGTTTTTCTACTGTCCTTACTGATTTAGATGATGTTATCCCTTCTGAGCTTGTTTTAGTTGTATTATACAACTGCCCTTCTTCCATAATTTAATTAATCAGCTCATTCATTCATATAACCAGTCATCATTGATTCTGTTGTGTATAAGGTGCTCTATACTCTGTGGATACAAAGATGATAAATTTGGCTTAAAATTTTTATCTTATATCTCTATTTTTAAAAAGTTTGTTTTTATTCCTTGTGATTAATTGGCTCAATTTAACGAATGTCCATCTAGTCTCTATTCTGTGTTCAGCACTGTTCAAGATCAAAATCCATAATCTTTCTAGAAGCTAGCAATTTATCCCATTGATTTCAATAATGACAAATGAATTTGAAATTCTTTGTGTGGTTAATGTTACACATTTTCATTAGTAATGAAATTGATGATTCAAGCAAACTCTTTACTGGGAAATGTGTATCCCTAGTTCTCAATATTAATGGTCTAAATACTTTAAGTTAATGCTATATCACTGCAAACCTTTTTAAAAAGCAATATCCTTTTTAAAGAGTGTATTTGTGTTAGATAAATGTTCATTTTTAGAAGAGTGGTTTGATGGCAGAGTTTAGAAATGTGATTGCTTAAACCTTAAATTGTGTTAAGATATGAACTAGTTATAAACAGACAACAGTTAATCATATGTACCTTGATCATGGTTTTACAGAGGCCATAGGTCTGCTTTATGGAAACCTGGGTTTCTGTGTAACAGTTTGAAACATTACATGATCAGGCCACTTCATAGGACAACCCAATAAAAGGTAATTTGAGGTCCTATCATAAGACACTAAGCACTAAGTGATATGGTTAAATACCAAGTGAAATGGGAGAAGTCATTCTTTTTCCTTTAGTATTCATCTCTTATTGGCATGGGGAAAAATAGTTTTCGGCATTGGGTCCTGAACCCATCTAAGACCGCAGGGGCAACTGACAGCTTCTCAGAGCATATTTCCTAGGGAAAGAGATAGTGGAAGACCCTTTCTTCCTGTCTTCTGAGGTCTCTATTTTGAGAGCCCAGGTCTTACTCAGGAATAGATTCTCATCCTCAGAAAATTCAGATTGCTTTGGTCTTAGCCTATAAATCAAGTGGTAAAGCCTGTTTCTGCTCTCCGTAAGAGAGGTCTGCCCTAAGTACAAGGCAGAGAAAGAGTGTACATCATTAATCACTTGAGAATTGTTTACCACGTTAATCTAGACGGCACTTGCCCATGGCAGACAGTACAGTTACCTTGGTTGTTTAAGAATAACCCGAGTGGTTTACTCAGACTGTTGGCAAATGTTTAGACATTATTCAAGGGTTGTCCTAGACTGACCAATTAGCTTTCTTTTTCACTGCTCTTCTCAGATTCACCTTTACACCATCCAATCACACTGAGAAGAGCAGGAGTTCCCAAAATTGCAACATTACTGACTTTCCAGCCATGTGACATAGCTTTTCAGACACAAAGTTAAATTTCAACCCAGACATCTCTCTTCAATTCAGGTCACCTACAGGCCAGATGAAACCAAGGTCATGTGTTTAACCAATATAAGGAGTTTCGTTAGTTGCAATAACCATAATGTTATTCACTGTTTGAAATACTATACCATGGTTAATCATAAGTTGCAGCTGCTATGTCCTTTTATTTATGAGCCCTTAATCAAGAGGACACAGCAAGGGCCACTGTTTGAAAGGAGCCTTTCATGAGGTCTTCTTTTGGATGCTATTGGGCTTTCATTGTGAAAAGAAGAGGACTTCATGTTGACTTGTAGATGTTCTTGAATAGTATATGTTGGCTTCTCTGAAAACTGATTTTTCTATTCATAATTTAAATGATCATATTGTAATCTTTATGTTTCAGCTAATGACAATAGAAATACTAATCTAGTGCTCTCCAATTTCTTTCAATTCCCTCCAAACTTAATTAGTTCTTAACTGTCAGCCACCAAAAGTTACACGGTGGTTCTCTGAAAACAGATTTTGCTATCCAGAATTTAGATTGCCTATTTTTAACCATATGTTTCTGCTGATGTTCATGTAAACAGACCAGATCTTTCCAGGCAGCTCTTTTTACTGACCCCCCACCCCCAATCTGATGGATGAGACCTTAAATGTCAGTCTCTCTCACTCTCTCTTTTTTACTTTTAGGCCCTAGCTTATTTTATGAGAATTCCTCTTGTGAGTTACTCATGTTAAAAGAGGAGGTCATATCCAGAAATTTGGATAGGATCATTTTATGAATCCATTTTGAAATAGATTGTTTATATGAATGGATTTTTTTAAGTCTAAGAATTTAGTAATAGGTTATGTTTTCAGATTTGTTGATTTGTTAGCTTCAATATAAATTGGGTAACACTAAAGCTGGTTTGAGACATTCAAAATGTTTCCAGACTTTAAAACCGTAATTACTTTTTATTGATGGTTTTTGGGGTGTGTTTCATTCATGTGAATTTTTAGTCTTCATTTGATGATCCCATGTGAGCTCTCTGCTCTAGCCACGTAGGTTTCATATGGTTCCCTGAAAGTAGCATACATTCAAGCACCTTTGTGGTGTGGATCATGCTGGTACCCCAACTGGTATTCTTCAATGATACTTAACATCCATCAAGACAAGGCTCAAATGCACCTCCCATCCTGAAATATTGCCCCCTCTTTCCAGATGGACTTAAATGCTGGTCTTTGCACTTATTTATTGGATGTGTTACTGAAACACTTCGTTCTCTCTCCTTTGTGCTTTAATTGATTTTGTACATGCTTTCCTCCTCTGTGAAAGGCAAGCTTACTGAGGAGCAGGACCGTATCTTCAGCACCAAATGATTGGCTTGGCACAAAGTTGCATGCATCTCTTGTTTTCTCATAAATATATAGAAACAATGATACTTAGATTTCTCAGAACTGCTGTGAGAAAGGGCTAAGAGAACTGACAGTAAAACATGGTCCAATTCAAAATTCTCTTTAAAGTAGTATTGTTCTCAAAATGAATACCTCAAGTTTTCAGTGACATGTGTGACATAACGATTTGCATTTTCTCTAAGATACCTTAAAATCAAGATAGATAGCTGGCCAGAATAAAAGGTGATTATCTGCCTCCAGTCTGTTTTGACCAAGTCAGGTTGAGCCAAGAGTGGCAGAGAGTGAGCTTTCTTGACTGAACATGTTTCTTTAGGCCCCCCTTCAAGCTTCTGAATCCTGGGCTGCCTCTCTGCATGCATCCACCTCCTCAGCGCTCTTTTGTATGGGATGGCATGTTAGCTGTAAGAGACAATAGAGATCATACTCATCACACCCACAGTAGTCTTCCGTGATTACCCACACTGGATCATTTGCTACCACCAACTGGGGGAAAACAACATGGGATCCGAAAACAAACAAACAAGTGAAGAGGGCTGTCTGGGACCAAAGGAACAAGGTTACTGGATTTGTTTAAAGTATTAAGCTTATGAGTTACACTTTCCCCCTTTGCAGCACAGATAAAAATCTTGGCTTAAGGAACATTTCAACATCACAGCTGCAAGTATAACTTACAATGGAAAATGATTTTCGTTTTGGAAAGAGGCAATTGCTATTTTGTAAAGGAAGACTAGGACAGCTGGAGATAAAGCTTGCATGCAAGACCAACACAGCCTGGTGAAGGAAGCAGAGTCTAGTTTAACAACCTCTAAATCAGGAGAGCTCCATTTTAATGTTACTGATAGTCCAGTCAAGAGGTATTAAGTGTCTACTGGGTTCAGGACTGCTAAGCATCATGGGCAGTACAGTAAAAGTAGAAGACACAGTGCTGCCCCTGAGGGAGCTGAAATTTAATAGACAGCTCATATGTACCAGGATCAGCAGAGGATGTTAGGCAGGGTATAATCAAAGTGCCACATGGCTGACTACAAACCATCCAGAAGGCAAAGAATGGATTACTGTGGACTCTGCTGCTAAGTGACTTTAGATTTCTAGGATACTCTCCATGGCTCATTTATTTTCTTTTAAACTGAAGATTATACCTGCCCTCTACCAAGTACATGGTAATAATCTGAGTAATATGTAGACTGAGAATTTAGAACTTCTGAGTCTCTTGCAAATCTGTGCAGATAGAGTGAGAATGAGAAACAGCCCTGTGGTAGATTTATTAATACTCTGAAGTCAAAGGAGTAAGTGTGCTTTTATAGGATGCTTCTGCGGTTGACCTTGAGCAACATGGGTTTGAACTGCGTGGGTCCACTTATACATGGATATTTTTTCAGTGAATATATTGGAAAATGTTTTGGAGATTTGCAACTTGAAAAATTGTTTTCTCTAGCTTTATTGTAAGAATGCAGTATGTAATATGTGTAACATACAAAATATGTGTTAATGTACTGTTTATATTATCAGTGAGGCTTCCAGTCAACAGTAGGTTATTAGTAGTTATGTTTTTGGGGAGTGAAATGTTAAATGCAGATTTTCAATTGCACGGGGTTTGGAGGGGTGGCACGTTGACCCCCACATTGTTCAAGGGTCAAATGTAATTAAAGATATTTTTCCTTTAGTTTTTATAAAATATGAGTTTTGATTAATAAGTAGGAACTTTTAAGAAAAGTGCAGCCCAAGTTGATTTGCTCTTCCTTTAAGAAATATAGGATGTTTCATTTTTCCATAAGACTGACTTCTTTGCATTTTTATTTTACTCCTTTCATTAACTCATCCAGCATATACTTACTGAGCCATGTACTACGTGTCAGATCCTGTGGTGGGACCTGTGAATATAAAGTTGCAGAAGACACAGGCCCTATCTCTAAAAAGCTCATGAGGAGACCAAAGAAACCAAGACAGAAAAATAAGAGTTTTTCCTGCTTTAAATAGTTAGATGTTTTTAATAGTTAAATTTGAAGAGAACTCTCATTTTAGCCAGATTTACTGTGCCATCTTCATTTACTGATTTTTCACTCACCTGTTCATTCATTGCTTAAGGTAATGGGTGCTAGAAACCCGAGTCCTCGCTCACATCTCCCTTTCATTTGCCCTCAAATTGCAAACAATTGACAAATCTTTCGAATGTCTGTTTCCAGGATATGTATTGGATCTGTGGACTTCTCAGTATATTTACTATCTTGACAAAGCCATTCACCTAACTGGTTCCCCATTTTCACTCCTGATTCCCTCCAGTTAGCAGCTTTCAGACTTTTTTGACAGTGACTTACAATTAAAAAGATATGCATGGTACTCCCAGTACACATACATATATGTGTGTGTCTTGTGTATCTATAAGTAAATATGAAACAAAAGATTCATAAAATAATACTTACCTTTACTCTGTATGATGCAGTTTGATATGTTTTAAAATTCTATTCCTTTTCATTTCATGGCCCAATAATGGGTTGAAACACACTGTTCCTATCTTCACAACACAGTAGCCAGGGTAATGGTTTTCTATCAATTGCTTGCTTACATTCTTTCTTTGACATCTGGTTGTCCTCCAGTTTAAATCTGGAAATAACAGTGTGGCCTGTAATGCTCTGCCTGGTCTTACCTCCACTTCCCCTTCATTTGCCCTCCTTGCCCACCTTTAGGCATGCTCTTTCCTTCTCTGCAGAGTAGTCTTCCTCCCCCAACTTTACCTGGCCAACTTCTGTACTCCTCCATGACTGTGTAAAGACCATACCCTTCAGAAAATTAGATTTCCCTTATCATCTGTCATCCTTCTGTTTACTTTTTATTCATTGTACTTATTGTAATTTTATAATCATGTGTTTGTTTGTATGACTTTTTGCTTCATATTGATGGCTCCCATTAGACTGTAAGTTCCGCGGTCGCCAGGGCCATATCTGTTTGCTTATTGCTATATCCACGGCACCTGGCACAACTGGCAAATTTATTTTTGAGCACCTCTTTGCTCGGCCCTAGGAGTACAAAGGTGAATAAGACATAGACAATGCTGTTAAGGAGTTTGGCTTTTGTGGCATTTTGTATGTCTGAAGACAAGGTATCTAAAAGGCCACACAGGTTAATAAACATTAGAAAGACTATGAGAATGCTGGAATTCTTGCAAATAGCTGTTTAAGACCTTAACTAGAGTAAGGTTTTACTTATTTACTTATAATGCAAACTCAAGGAACTTTTGTGGTATTGTTCAAAGACTGTGAATAAAATTCCCACTGATATCTAGAGGGATTTAAGCAAATAATAGGCGCCTTTATTTTTATGTTCTTTCTGTCTCATTACGTAGTTCTCAAGCTCAGAATTTTAAAATTTGAAGAGTCTGACATTGAGACCAGTCTTCCACTTCGTGCTGGGATGCTCAATCATAGCATCCCTGACAGGCTCAGACTTTGAACTTTTCCAAAGCTAGAGAAGTAACTGTTACACAAAAAGGCCTATTCCATGTTGGAATAGTTTGGATTGTTAGAGAATGTTTTGTTATGTTATTTTTCTGCGTACTTGTCTGCCCTTGGGAGTCATGGAAGTAAGTTTGTTGTCTCTTCCGGAGAACAATCCTCCAGCTATTTGCAGATGGTTCACCTGCCCAAGCAGTTCTTTTTTCCCAGTTGAAAACAATCCTAGTTTCTCCAGTTATTCCATGTGTGGCGTGATTTCCACACCCTTTCTCTTTCTGTGACACTCTTGACATGCTCCAGTTTTTCTCTGTATTCTTTAAAACTTGGCACCCAGAATGGAGGGAGCATTCCAGCTGTGTCTGAACCAGGGCAGAGCCTGGGGGGGTATTTTTTTTCCTTACTTTGAACACTATACTTCTGCTAATCTGACCTTAAATTGCATTGGATTTTTCAGCAGCCAAGTCACACTGTTGGCTCATAGAATAAAGTCTGCTAAAACCCCTCGATCTTTTTCACATGGACTCCTGTTCAGCCTCTCATCCTGAACTGAGGCATGTAATAGTTTTCTTTCTTGTATCCATGTAATAGATTTTTACATTTATTCCCATTCAGTCTCAGTCTTTTAACTTAAGAGCAACCTTCTCTTCAGTCAGTCGTGGAGTCTACAGGCTTGGCATAGAAAACTATGCAAACTCCAGTGAATACCACAAACAGTTATTTGCCTTAACTTCAGGAAATGAAACATTATGCTGGTTTTAAGTTTCTCAAGTTGCCTCCCTCCTCCATTCCATCCCCAACCCCCTTCCTTCAGTGTTTTGGTCTGAGGCCCAGTGGAGGAGGTCTGCAACTAGCCTCTTCAGGGAGGGCCCAGCTCTCATCCTCCACACAGCACCATTCATTAACAGCCACAGTCTTGTCTAGGCTAAGCCGAGGGGACATCTAGCTTCGCAGAGAAAAAAACCTTTGCTGCCTTGTGATACGAAACATGCCACCTACTTGCACTGTAGCACTGTGGGCAGATCGGTCCATTGTGTCCCAGAGGAAACAGAAAGCGACGCCCTCCCCCTCCCCTGTAATCTCTTTGTCCCCACAACCAGCTCTGGAAAATATCTGAAGGCCACAGAAATGGGAGTACCCTTTGATGTTTATATTGGCTGGCTCCTTTTCCTTTTTACTTCTTTTTTTTAATAATCAGAGTAGTAGAAAATGTGGAGAATTAACCGCATGACAGCAGCAGAGGAATTCATTAGAAAAACTGAGATGAATTCTGCTCAGATTTCAGGCTCTCAGGCAGGACTCACAAAGGAGTAATCGTCTTCTAGTTGTTTTTAATCATTTCTTTTGTGGCACCTTCCTTGTCCCTGAAACCAATCTCAGTGTCCGGCATGAGGGAGCCTGAGAACACAGGCTGTCCGGATGGAAGCTTTGGTTTGGGGATTACTACACCCATATTAACTACCTTCTGACATCCCTTTGACAGGATGGAACTTGTCCTGTTTGGGGGAGGGCAGAAGACCGTGCTGTATCATTGCTATTATTTAAAGTGTTACCCTGTTTTAATTTGTTTTAAAATTGTAAAAAATGAGCATAAAATTCTACTATATGCAATTCTCAAATAGACTGAAACATGCTGAGGAACGAAATTTTGCAAGTGTGTTTTCTGATCTAAACCTCAGAGACCCTTTCATGACCTTCAAAGGCATCTTCAGTGATGGCTTTGCCCATGACTTAGTTAATTCATGCTTAAAGTTGTGCTTGAAGGAATTTGGTAAAATAAAACAATGATTTTTCTCTGTAAATGTATAAAGGCAGCAGCTGTGTCTCCCCAAAGCTATAGTAATATTAAGATTTCATTCCCAGAGTCCAGAGTAGTCCCGACTGCTTTGCTTCAATATTGGAGCTTCATTGCTAATTCTAATTCCTCATGAATCTGTTTTTAAAATGCAATGA